AGAGAGAGAGAGAGAGAGAGAGAGAGAGAGAGAGAGAGAGAGAGAGAGAGACAGAGACAGACAGACAGACCAGACAGACCAGACAGACCAGACAGACCAGACAGACCAGACCGACCGACCGACCGACCGACCGACCGAGGACCCTTTTCCCCGCTTTTAGGCGTACTGGGGTTTTCAGGCTATACCAATAGTTAATAGACCACTCAGCTCTTGCTGGGCGATATAGTCAACATCCCGCCGGTCGCTTTGACATCCTCGGAATGTTTCTGGTACCCACTGAAGGCTGCGTCGACCTAGGATCCAAGATTATTTTCTAGTAAACGTCAGTCTCCGTCGGGACTTGATCCCACAACTCTCCAATCCGCAGGCCAGCGTCTAGCCGCCACACCACGGCGGTTCTCGTCGATTACAGAACGGCTGGGAAATGATGCATATACAAGTGCCAGTACTGCGCACCGTTGCATGCCTTGAGTGGAGCATTTCACAGTTTGTTGCCGCTATCACTCGCATTCCTCTCGCCAAAAGCCCCCCCCCCCCCCAAAAAAAAAGGGGGGGGGGGTAGACTAACAGGAGGTGAGATTAGACGTTGACAACTTGCAAAACTAGAAAAATCGATACACAACCAGAGGGACGGAGAAATTGACAATCGTCGACATATGGCAGCGAGGGAACAAAATAGAGTCAATAAGTGTAACAGTGGGGCGACTAAAACTACCTGCAAAGAGGAAACTACACGACAGAGATGAAGGCCCTATTTACGTTTCCTGGCCCAACTACACACTGGTTGACCTTTCATTCATGCTTGCTCAGGCAGCCCAACGTCAGAGGAGTGTCACTGTCTCCGGTGATATCACTGGCGAACGACCCGACATCAAGAACTGGCCCTAACCCATACCTCCCATCCTCATCCTAGGCCCCACGAGAAAGTCCAGAGTACGTTCCATGGTCTCAGAATTGTAATCTTTTCCGCTCCCCCCTAAAAACCAGTCCCCCCCGTCCCCCCCCCCCCCCCCCCCAAAAAAAAAAAAGTAAAAACCCTCTCTCCCCCTCGTCCGTGAAACTTAAATTGGACCGAGATTAATAGAACAGAAAAACCTAATTCATCGTGAGGTTAATTCAATATTACGAATGCAGTCCACACCAGCAGTTGTAGCCTGTTTCATCAACTTTCATTATAGGGTTTTCTTTGGGCATCCTTGCTTCCTTAGTCCCTTTATTTCCAATTTTAGTGACTTTTATTTGAGAGTTTTTCTGTTTGTTCCTTTTCCGGATGTGTCCAATAAAGCGCTATCTTTTTTGTCTAGTAACTGTTGTTACCAGTGGTTGCCCAGATATTTCTCTTATTTATTCACCTCTTTTGATTTTACCACATTTTATATAGTAGGACAACGGCTTAAGCGTTGCGACCGCGCCTTGTAAAGCCGGGGTGCCAGGTTCGATCCCAGCATAGCACGTTCTCAACGACTAAGCCATAGAAGCTGACAATAAAAGGCTAACGCATTTAAGTCTTTGGTTTTCAGTGATTTTAAGTTGTGAGTAAGGATGTTGTTTCAATAATTCTCGTAATTTTTTTGTCGCTCAGATCTGGTTTTGTTTACGGCCTTTCTCCAACATCTCATTTCTCAGATGGTCAGATTTCTTTCGCGCTATTTACTTACTGTCAAGGTGCGACTTTAATATCCCGGTTCAAATGTGACACTGATATCACTGTCCAACTCTGACACCGACATTCCTGTCCAACTCTGACACCGACATCCCTGTCTAACTCTCACGCCGACAGCACTGTCCAACTCTAACACCGACAGCACTGTTCAACTCTGACACCGATAGCACTGTCCAACTCTGACGCCGACAGCATTGTCCAAGTCTGACACCGGCAGAACTGTCCAACTCTGACATCGACAGTACTGTCTAACTCTGACGCCGACAGAACTGTCCAACTCTAACTCCGACAGCACTGTTTAACTCTGACACCGACAGCACTGTCCAACTCTGACACCGACAGTACCGTCCAGGTCTGACACTGACAGTACCATCCAGGTCTGACACCGACAACATTGTCCAACTCTGACACCGACAGCACTATCCAACTCTGATACCGACAGCACTGTCCAACTCTGACACAGACAGCACTGTCCAACTCTGACACAGACAGCACTGTCCGACTCTGACACCGACAGCACTGTCCAACCCTGACACAGACAGCACTGTCCAACTCTAACACCGACAGCACTGTCCAACTCTGACACCGACAGTACTGTCCAACTCTGACATCGACAGTACTGTCCAATTCTGACACTCATAGCATAATGTTGCTATGAATGTTTTAACGTTAAGCAGGGCGCCTAAGCAACAAATATAAGACTCGACTTGTCAAAATTATAAGCCAGCATGTGTAAATGTTCGATTCGTTTTTTTTGGTTAAGTATCCGCAAACCATGATTTGTTAACCCGTTGGCTCGGTACTGTGGATATTGCAACCCTTCGGCCTTGACTCCATGATAGATAACGTAAATCTGGGAGAAATGTGGCTCTTCTGCCTACCCCCGGGCGTGAACCCGGACCACAAGGAGTTCGTCACCCGGACGCCGCTAGAAGACCTGGGTTCAAGCCCCAGTAAAGGCTGAGATTTTGTCTGTTCACGTGGACTTCTAGTAATTTATACCGGTCTCTGAGTAGTGAGATCGGACGCCCGAGTGTATTTTTGCTCACGTAAAAAATCCCTTAGTTGGAAATCGAAAACAGTAGCCTTATGACGCTGCCTGGGCAAAATTTGGAGTTTAAAATACCCAAAATTGTTCAAGATCCTCGCCGGTGCTACAGAGCCCGTGCAATTCGCTGAGCTACTTCGGACTCAGACTTGAGTTAAAAGAAGAACGGAGCACTTATCGGTTACTACCTGTGTACCATAATGTTGATCTTCTGTTCAAAACCTCAAACCTCGGAAAACTAACTACAGGACAAGTTAAAAAAAAGTTGTTTCACTGATTCACTGAAACCGGTTTTCTTGGGCTGACAAACGCAAATATCACAGCTTCTCTGTAAACCACACCACAGCTGAGGAGATGTCCTCTTAATGGTGTACATAGTAAAGAAATTATAAAAAATGTTCACACAATTGAAGGGCACTAACCAGGTAATAATTATACATGACTTATACGTTTACAGTTATTTCCCCTAATATTCATAGCTTAAAAAATGTCGGATAGATTCCATGCCTCATACAACAGACAACACGCTAGGAACATCTCGCATTTAGATCTGTCTACAATAGTTGTCTCTAAGCTTTTGCATTTGTCGCCTCTTGAGTGTATATAGCAAACAAACAACACACACACACACACAAAAGTGATTGGAAAAAAAAAGAGGTACAAAAATAACAATTGCAAGCAATTTTTCCCCCTTTCTCCCCGGCTGAGTCGACTTATCCACACTAGGGTAATAGATTATATGCTCAAACACTGAGTAACATAAAACAATCAACTAGTCCTCTATAAAGATCTTTGCTATATACGTAAACTGGATTTATAAATGGTCTGCATTTCTGAGTAGTTAGAATTCATAATTGAAATATATTTATAAACAGTGTGGAGTTACAAGTAATCCACATTTAATCTGAAGTTAGAACTATTTAAGATTTACAGCTGATCCAGTTTTACAAGTAATCTATATCACAAGTCCTTAGCCACGCAGGCCTGCAGGTTTATGAGCTTAGTGAGGCAGTTATGGAAGCCCAACGTTGCAAATTCCCCGGAAGTTGAATAGGCTAGCCAGGTTTTGTCCTTTTGGTCTGCCATCCAGGTGTCAGACCTTCTGATTTCCTCAGGGCCTACATTATAGAGAGCAAAGAATAGACAACTGCTCCCCCCTTCCCTTTTCATCTCTCAATTAGCAAACATGTCATAAGAGGCGAACAATTAGGGGTGTTTATGCAACTGCCAGTGAGGCCAGAAACCAAACGCCTGAACACAAATAAGGCAGATGTATAAGACGGACGTTCATGCAAAACTCAAATTATGAATCAAGATCCACGTCCAGCAGTGGACGAACAACCTGAATAAACCGCTGGAGTTGCCAGCATGTGAACGTCAATGATATTAATAAAAATAAAACTAATAATAATAATATTTAAAATAATCATAATCATGTGTCCTGCGTAAGCGCTCATGCATCTCCACAGATCAGGATCCCTGGTTGCCTGCAACAGCTATTTGATGATATCCCTCCATGCCATCGCTAATAATAATAATATTTAAAATAATCATAATCATGTGTCCTGCGTAAGCGCTCATGCATCTCCACAGATCAGGATCCCTGGTTGCCTGCAACAGCTATCTTGATGATATCCCTCCATGCCATCGCTTCAGCCAATCCAGCATCATCTCTCCAATGATCTTTCCACTTGTCACTATGTTCTCCAATGTCTCTCTTCTCATTACGTGGCCAAAGAAGAGTTGTATTGTTGTATATAGATAAAAATAATAATAATAAAATAATAATAAACCTTTAAGTAGCTGTGCAGAGAGGAGAAACGCCACGGCTCGTGTGCAGGCAAAAAATCTGCATTTATATGTCATCTTTGGTGATGTAAAGAACAACAACATCCACCACATCGACACCCCCCCCCCCCCTTTTCGCCATAAACATCCTGCCATTAGTGCCTAATTTACCACTTTTGAGGTGTAGGCGGGGCAAAGGTGGGGGTGAGGGGGGGGGGGGGTCTTTGAGCCTGATTATTATCAGTCTCATGGCCAGTTTTGTCGCCATGGACTGTGCTGTTTGCCCCTGGCAGAAAAGGAAACCCCGTATTCTCACCGAGAATTTGAACCTGGGTCTCCTGCTTCAAAGCCCAGCGTTCTCAACGGCTCATTCAACCGTTGCTCCCAGTCACTGGCTGACAACCCAAGATGTCCCACATGCACCCATCCAGAGCTCCATACCCCAACCAGCTACACACGACAGACACTGACATTACTGCTTGTGCTGATGAAGAACCATACCTTTGCCAGAACGACCGCCTCTGTGTGGGGATTCTTAAAGCACTGGTACTTTGAACCCGGTGTATTGTGGTCTCAGATCTGTGCTGGCAAAACGAGGCAACCTTCGTTGCCATTTCCCGGCAGATAAATCCGTTTGGAAAACGCCGAATTCTTTCAAACAAATTTCCGACCGTTTTTTTATTGAACAGTTTTTAGAAGGAAAGAAATTGTCTTATTTTGTTGATTCTAAAATCCGGACTTGCCTACATACTTTTTTTTTTTTTTTTAAATTAAAATAAACACTCAGTTTATGAAACAATTATTTAATGTCTGCGTTTTAATGAAAACAAACCGATAAAGTAATCGATAATATCTGGTTGTCATGGATACAAAAATTTATATTTTTAGTTGTCATGGATACGAAAATATTCAATAGTGTTGGCGACTGGTAAAATTATAAATGGCGCTAGACCTAGGTCAGTGAACGCTGTAATCGTTAGAAATTATTTTTTGTAGGGACATATTTCTTTGTTAGGAAAACTATCGGTGGAAAGGAACCATTGATCTCCTGTTGGTATCTTTTTGTGTCTGATTCAGTTGTATCTCCCTGGATCTTCTATGAACGTCTCATTGCGGATGTCATTCAGTCGTAAACCAGCTGCACAAGTCTCTTTAAAGGATTAAATACATTCTTGGTGTCGTATGATGTCATCAATGAAGAATCTTCGGTGGACAGTATCCTTTGTAATTTATTCTTATGTTCCGTGTCATTTACATCCGACAACGTGTCTATCACAATATGGGGGATATCCAGGCGGCCATCTTGTCTGACGTCACCTGAAAATACATTGAAGAAAAACACAGGGAGGTAAAAAAGATGTAAGATATACATTTTAGTTTTAACTATCTTTAGCGCGCATTTACACACACACGCATACACACAAACACACACACACATACTCACAACGCTAACATTCAAAACACCACACAGACACAGTATGTTTCTACCTTTCTCTCAGACATCTATCTTATATAACAGCAGTAGTAGCCATAACAGGAACAGCAGCAGCAGTTGCCATAACAGCAGTAGCAGCAGTAGTAGCGATAGCAGCAGCAGAAGCAGCAGCAGCCGCAGTGATAGCGATAGTAGTAGCAGTAGTAGCGATAGCAGCAGCAACCGCAGTGGTAGCGATAGCGGCATTGATATCAGCGATAACTGCAGTAGTTTGTATAGCAATAGTAAGAGCAGAAAAAAAAAAATATATACATACAATAAAAAGATATATTGATGCATATATACAACCCATAATGAACAACTTATCAGACAGACAGGCTTAGCATATCATGAAATGTAGATGAGCCAAGTGAGATGATATATTCTACTGTATTCGGCCAACATTCACAACAACAGCATCGTAATAGTCTGCAACACAAGATAAGCGCGCGATCAATATAGATCTACGTAAATGACAATAAAGTAGATGAAACCTAACTTCACAATGGCTAGAGACAGCGATTTAGGCAAGTCATAGAAAGACTTCAGTTTTAGAGAGATTCCAGTTACAGAGAGACTCCAGTTATAGAGAGACTCCAGTTATAGAGAGACTCCAGTTACAGAGAGACTCCAGTTATAGAGAGACTCCAGTTACAGAGAGACTCCAATAACAGAGAGACTCCAGTTACAGAGAGACTCCAGTTACAGAGAGACTCCAGTTACAGAGAGACTCCAGTTACAGAGAGACTCCAGTTACAGAGAGACTCAAGTTATAGACAGACTCCAGTTATAGACAGACTCCAGTTATTTACAGACTCCATGCATGGAGAGAGACTCCAGTCATAGAGAGACTCCAGTCATAGAGAGACTCCAGTCATAGAGAGACTCCGGTCATAGAGAGACTGCAGTTACAGAGAGAGACTCCTTTTATAGAGAGACTCCAGTTACAGAGAGAGAGACTCCAATAAAAGAGAGACTCCAGTTACCGAGAGACTCCAGTTATAGAGAGACTGCAGTTATAGAGAGACTCCAGTTATAGAGAGACTTCAATTATAAAGAGACTCCAGTTATAGAAAGACTCCAGCTACAGAGAGACTTCAGTTACAGAGAGACTCCAGTTATAGAGAGACTCCAGTTATAGAGAGACTCCAGTTACAGAAAGCCCTTTCCCTGACCCCAGCCCTTTCCCTGACCCCAGCCCTTTCCCTGACCCCAGCCCTTTCCCTGCCCCAGCCCTTTCCCTGACCCCAGCTATTCACTTAACCCAGCCATTCACTGATCCCAGCCATTCACTGACCCCAGCCATTCACTGACCCCAGCAATTTCCTAATCCCAGCAATTCACTTACCCCAGCCATTCACTGATCACAGCCATTCACTTACCCCAGCCATTCACTGATCCCAGCCAATCACTGATCCCAACCATTCACTGATCCCAGCCATTCACTGACCCTGCCAATCACTGACCCCAGCCAATCACTGACCCCAATCATTCGCTGATTGCAGCCATTCAATGACCCCTGCCATTCCCTGAACGCCATTCACTGATTCCAGTTAATCACTGACTCCAGATATTCAATGATTCCAGCCAATAATTGACCCCAGTCATTCGCTGATTCCAGCCATTCACAGATCCCAGCCATTCCCTGACCCCAGCCAATCACTGACCCCAGTCATTCGCTGATTCCAGCCATCACTGACCCCAGCCATTCCCTGACTCCAGCCATTCGCTGAACCGAGCCATTCCCTGACCCCATTCATTCACTGACCCCAGCCCTTTCACTGACCCCAGCCGTTCTCTGACCCCAGCTATTCACTGACCCCAGCCATTCACTGACCCCAGCCATTTCACTGACCCCAGCCATTCACTGACCCCAGCCATTCACTACCCCCAGCAATTCACTAACCCCAGCAATTCACTTATCCCAGCAATTCACTAACCCCAGCCATTCACTGATCCCAGCCATTCACTGACCGCCGCCAATCACTGACCCCAGCCAATCAATGACCCAAATCTTTCGCTGATTCCAACCATTCACTGACCCCAGCCATTCCCTGACCCCAGCCATTCCCTGACCCCAGCCATTCACTGATTCCAGCCAATCACTAACTCCAGATATTCAATGATTCCAGCCAATCACTGAAACTAGTCATTCGCTGATTCCAGCCACCACTGACCTCAGCCATTCTCTGACCCCAGCCATTCCCTGACCCCAGCCATCCAAGACAACAGCAATTCCCTGACCCGAGCTATTCACTGACCCCAACCATTTACTGACCCCAACCATTTACTGACCCCAACCATTTACTGACCCCAACCATTTACTGACCCCACTGACCCAATTCATTCATTGACCCCAACCATTCACTGACCCGAACCATTTACTGACCACAACATTTCACTACACCTAGCCATTGAGTGATTCCAGCCATTCATAGGCACATGGGAAGAGCACCTATATTTTTACAAACCAGTCGGCACTCGGTGGGGTCAACATTACGCCGGCCGTCTTTACTTCCCCACGACATACATCCTGGTATCTATTTTAGGCTGGGTCGACCTGCGACGCCCCATACTATGATAAAAATCCATGCAGCCAGCAGTGGGTTTCGATCGCAGTACGTTGAAATTACGTGTCTGATTCGCAACGCCTAAGCCACGGACGCCGCAAGTAGAAGAAGAAAATGCTGAAATCAAATGTATAAACAACAACACAATGTATCGACCGGTTAATCCCAAAGGCAAAAGAGCACAGAGGAACGACCCTTTAGCTCCCAGCGTGAATCTAAATGCCCGGATCGATCCTGCTCAATAATTAGCTGGAAACAAAACATGAGATGGGAACCGAAGAGGAGCGGATGACAGCAATATTGCTCAGGGATTCAGTCTAGTGTGTTCATTATGTGGGTTCCAGGTCCCCAGGTATGGGTGTTGGAAAATAACAGCCACACGGCCTCCTAAAATTACTGTAGTATAAGATGTTCAAATGAGGGTTCACTTGAATCAGATATGTTGGGACTTTTTTGTAAATAGATCGCAGCCTAGCTCTAAACCGAATAGTATAACCACAAAGGACCTTTAAAAAGCGAAAGAAGAGGAGGAGAATAAAAACAAGAAAAAAAAAGAAGAAAAAGAAGAAAAAGAAAATGAAGAAAAAGAAGAAGAAGAAGAAGAAGAAAAAGAAGAAGAAAAAGAAGAAGAAGAAGAAGAAGAAGAAGAGAAGAAGAAGAAGAAGAAGAAGAAGAAGAAGAAGAAGAAGAAGAAGAAGAAGAAGAAGAAGAAGAAGAAGAAGAAGAAGAAGAAGAAGAAGAAGAAGAAGAAGAAGAAGAAGAAGAAGAAGAAGAGAAAAGAAGAAGAAGAAGAAGAAGAAGAAGAAGAAGAAGAAGAAGAAGAAGAAGAAAAAGAAGAAGAAGAAGAAGAAGAAGAAGAAGAAGAAGAAGAAGAAGAAGAAGAGAGAAGAAGAAGAAGAAGAGAAGAAGAAGAAGAAGAAGAAGAAGAAGAAGAAGAAGAAGAAGAAGAAGAAGAAGAAGAAAGAAGAAGAAGAAAAGAAGAAGAAGAAGAAGAAGAAGAAGAGAGAATAAGACTCCTCGAAGAAGAAGAAGAGAAGAAGAAAAGAAGAAAGAAGAAGAAGAAGAAGAAGAGAGAAGAAGAAGAAAAAGAAGAAGAGAATCCGAAGAAGAAGAAGAAAATGAAGAAGAAGAAGAAGAAGAAGAAGAAGAAGAAGAAGAAGAAGAAGAAGAAGAAGAAGAAGAAGAAGAATAAGAAGAAGAAGAAGAAGAAGAAGAAGAAGAAGAAGAAGAAAAAGAAGAAGAAGAAGAAGAAGAAGAAGATCCTCATCCTCCTCCTCCTCCTCCTCCGTCCTCCTCCTCCTCCTCCTATCCTCCCCTCCTCCTTCCATCCTCCTCCTTCCTCCTCCTTCTCCTCCTCAGGAGAAGCTAAGAAAAGAAGAAGAAGAAGAAGAAGGAAGAAGAAGACTCCCTCTCCCTGAAGAATCCTCCTGAAGAATCCTTGAAGCAGAAGAAGAAGAATGAATCAGAAGAGGAAGAAGGAGAAAAAAAAAAGAAGAAGACAAAGAAGAAGAAGAATAGGAAGAAGAAGAAGAAGAAGAAGAATTTATGAGTTGGGTTTTTCCCACAGGAC